CGCGTTTCGGTTTACAAATTTTTCAAAATAAGAAACGTCCTGAAGAACGCATTAAATTCGTAAACTGAGGTTCTACTGTATATAAAATAAATTTTCTCACCCCTCCTGGGTGGTATGTTTATTCCTCATTCTCGGGTCCTCTACCAGAGGCCTGGGAGTTTGAGGGTTCTGTGCAGTATCTTAACTGTTCCTAGAACTGCACTCTTCTGGACAGCGATCTCAGATGTCCCACCTGAAATGTGTTGAAGCCACTCCCCCAACTTGGGAGTCAGAGCCCTGAGTGCTCCTATCACAACTGGGACTACTACTGGCTTCACTTTCCACATAGTTCTTCTTTCAATCCTTGGTATTTGTCCACCTTCTCATGTTCCTTCCTCTTGATGTTATAGTCACTGGGTATTGCCACATCCACCACCTCTGCAGTCTTCCGTTCCTTGTCTACCACCACGATGTCGGGTTGGTATCTGGATCTTGAAATCCCACAGTATCTTAGCCCTGTCATTCTCGAATACCATTTGTGGTATCTCCCATCTGGACTTAGGCAGGTCCAATCCATATTTTGTGCAGATGTTTCAGTACACAATCCCAGCAACTTGGTTGTGTGTCTTTGTGTATGTTTTTTTTTCTAAATTTTGAACAATTCACTTTTTTTTAGAGAGAGAGACATGATCAACTCTGTCTATCGGATGTATTGAGAGCTTGTAGTTTTTGCCTGGAATTTTGTCCAAGCAGACACAGATTTTCATTTTAGAGAGAAGGCAGTAAAATGTAGTGACTGGCATGGAAATCAGCAGGTAATTAGTAGTTATTAGATTTCTGGACTAAGCTGCAGTTCAGCCAAATTCGGGTCAATTAGGTGCTTGAAGCAATTTATGATTGGCTCACGTTTTTGATAAACCATGCAAATTTTTGAGCCACTTGGGGGGTAACCAACTTGCGCAAGACAAACATGTTTGGTTTGGTTCATGATTCTGAGTGCCTTTCCTGGTACCAGAAAAAAAGAGGTATGTAATGGTGAAGAGGCTGTCTCTTTTTGGGTGCTGGTAAATAAACAGGTTAGTTTCCAATGATGGACAAGAGGTCTGCCCAATCATGTAGGATCGATCTCCTGTCCAATCAAGAGGTAGCAAAAAAAAGATATTTGATGGCTAGGGGTCACATGAATTATTCACGTTGATTTTATTCATGTGAAGTGACCAATACAGGGAAAAATGAGGAGTAATAAAACAACTATACTTCCAAGCAGGATTCTTCAAGACACTTGGACTTTAGCTGCTGAGGAAAACAAACCGGCAGTAATTCTGTGTGTTTGCCCTTGCTATGCCTGTTTTGGAATGGTAGATAGCCTGAATCTTTGATTATAGAGTGAGACCAGGTTTAGCTTTCTGCTGTATCTGGCTAGCAGCTATTGCCAGGAGCCCTTGAAACAACTTTGTGTGGGAGACGATAGACCGACAGGCATTTTTATCGTGTGTGATACTAGCATACCAATACACAGTTGTTAACATTTTTATATGTTTTTGTTAGCTCTTTGAAGAAAGAAAATACAATTTTATTGACTGTGTTTTGTGCACCTGTGTGATCACTAACCAGTGTTTCTTAATGTCAAACACAAATAAAATTACAGCAGTAAATCCACCAAGGACTAACTAATTTTTCAACACACCTATTTTTGCACAATACATTTGTGTAACTTTATACGACACAAAATAATTAATATACCTTACCTAATTTATTGTATTAAGAAAAAGAAACCCACCATTATCAGTATCATGTTGCTTTCTCATATTTTTGTGTGTAATACTATGTGAACTGGTTCATAGATACTTTATATTTTATTATTTACAATAAGTAACTATAATTTCTGAAATATATAACTTTGACAAAGTAGTGTCTTTTCAAAAGTTAAGCCCTAAATGTGTACTTGTCAAATTGAATTCATCTTGCAAATTAGTTATGTTTTATATTCTGAAAAATATGGTATTTTGTTGAGTAGAAAAATTGCATTTGCATCACATTTTCTTCTTTTTTTTCTGTAGCTTATCAATCCACTTGTTCACTGAGTTTTGAATTTATTAAATCGCAACTGGTAATTAAATATAGATATTTTATTTAAATTAGGGAAACGAGTGCCACAAAGTCATTCAGTATGGATATCTCTAGAGTAAGCTATGTTGCATAATGGAAGATTTCACATCTTAGTTGATTATAAACTAACTTTTATATTTGTTAAAGGGAAATTAAGTCAAGTTAATTTATGTTTCATTTTGAGCATGCCTCCGTTACAACAATATCATTATCTTGGATTTCAGATGAATTTAATTAAACTCTAATGAACAAAATTGGTTGTTTTATGTAATTAGAATGCCATTTAGTTGAAAAAGGAATGAATAGGATGCTAATTGTGTCTGTCAGAGTGGTTCTACGTACCTCTCCTTTCAGAATCGCACTCTTGGTAATAAGATTGATTTGTAGAGAATCACAAGGGTGCTTGAACTTTGTCATCAGCGCCCTGCTGGAGCCAATTTAAGGATGAAGGTCTTTAACCATATGGTACATGGTGAACTAGAATGCTATATGCAAATCCTGCAATCGTGTTGGCCAACATGTATGTCACATGCATGCAGGGGCGTATTAGTCGCGAGGCAAACAAGGCATTTGCTTTGGGTGGCATTTTTCAAGGGGCGGCAAAAAAGCCGCCCCCAAATGCCCAAGGCAAATGCCTTGTTAGCCTCGCGGCTAACAGACATGCCGAGCTGGCAGCGCTGGGAGGGCGGCCGGCGAGGGAGCTCTTCCCCTGAGTGGTCTGCTCAGCTCCCTCATGCGCCGCCGAGTGAGGCTGGGAGCCAGAATATGACATCATATTCCGGCTCCCGGCCTCACTCTGCTGGCGGCGCGCGAGGGAGCTGAGCAGACCGCTCAGGGGAAGAGCTCCCTCGCCGGCTGCCTGCCTGCCCGCAGCCACTGGACCCCAGGGAGAGGAAGAACCCCCCCAGCATTCCCAAAGGTAAGGAGGCTGGGTTAAATAAAAAAAAAAACACAAGTGAGTGTGTGTGTGTATGTTAGTGTGTGTGTGTGTCTGTTAGTGTGTGTGTGTCTGTTAGTGTGTGTTTGTATGTTAGTGTGTGTGTCTGTTAGTGTGTGTGTGTGTTTGTGTGTATGTCTGTTAGTGTGTCTGTTAGTGTGTGTGTGTATGTGTATGTTAGTGTTAGTGTGTGTGTATGTTAGAGTTATGTTAGCGTTAGTGTGTGTATGTTAGTGTTAGTGTGTGTGTGTGTATGTTAGTGTGTGTCTGTCTGTTAGTGTGTGTGTTTGCCTGTTAGTGTGTGTGTGTGTCTGTTAGTGAGTGAGTGTGTCTGTTAGTGAGTGAGTGAGTGTGTGTCTGTTAGTAAGTGTGTGTTTCTGTTAGCTAGTGAATGCGTATCTGTCAGTGAATGTGTGTGTGTATTTAGAAGGCGGAGCAGGGGGGAAGGGTTGGGTGGCGGTTGCGCGGGTGGGGGTGGCGTGGGGGGGTGCCTGAGTTTTGTCCTGCCTAGGGCAGCACAAAACCAGGATACACCACTGCATGCATGTCACTAACTGACTGCAAATAAGGCCAAACAGCAGTTGGACAAATGAGACTGTAGCTATATATAATATAAACAGCTAACCCGGTGCAATCCAACAATTTAGAGAAAGGGCTGGCCAAACATTTTGTGGGGAGGGTCCATTGTATGTGCAATGTATTATTTTGCAATTTAAAAAACACTATAAAGATTTTTTTTTTTATTACACAGCACAGCTTACTCTAAATAACGTACATAACATATCCTTTTACAACTAACATATATAAATGTTTCACTAGATTTTTTTTAAACATATAACAAGCATTCTATAATGATAAAACACAACACATTGTGCTTTTGGTAACCAGAAATTATATGAACATAATCCTTGGTCTGCTGACTTTCAATACGTTAATACTAATAGCACATAACAAGACATGATAAAACATGTTCTTAAAGTGTATATTTAATAAGAAAACTATGTCACCTTTAAAGCAGGGAGGATATATGCAACATACAAAATACAGGACTACATTAAAATTGAAAGGGTAACTTTAAGCCCCATGACCACTTCATCATACTGGAGTTGAATATTGTTTTTTTTTCGGTGTGTAGGGCCGCCTCCCTGGTCTGTCAGTACTTATCTCCCAGGCTGACACTATCAGTTTTGTGTTTATAACATCCTGTGGTACATTAGTTGGTGCTGTGGGCAGGGCCAGATTAAGAGCCCAGTGGGCCTGGTGCTGACAATTATGACGGGCCTAATTACAGAATCATATCGACCAAAAACAGTAAAACACTCCCAAGCATCATGTATCTGATGGAGATGGTGCCGGAGAGAAAGAAAACAGCAACTATAAGAAAACACATACCCTAGGCTAATCTCTCTCTAATTTATGTTTTCATCTTTCAAGTAAATCCATAACCCCTAACAGCAGTGTCCAGTCAAGCAGGAAGTCAATGGGCATGGTAAAAGCATGTGCCACTGACACAAATCACGTAACCTGCCAAAAGGGGCGAACATGCCCAAAAAGAGGACATGTCTGCTCAAAGAATTAGAAGGCCAGCCTGGCATGGATGCATGTCAGGCTGCCTGCCAATCATGCAACTGGCCAACTAAGGGCATACTATGCAGACAGCACTCTGAGCTTGGCATAAATGCATCTAATGATGCGCTCACTCAACGCTTTCTAAGGACTGTCCCCTAATACTCGCTGGTCCACTTGTCTCCTTACCTTCTAACTAGCAGGCAGAAGCTCCTGGTATATGGCCTGGGACAGAGAAAAGCTGTATGTAGTGAGTGTAGAAGAAAGGGAACATACCACAGTG